ACAGAAACTGTAGATATAAATGTTAGCTCTAAATTAATTTATTCCTCTTGGTTGTTCTTGATATATATAAATCTTGCTGTGTTTAAGCTTTGTTTGAATTATTTGAATTTTACTTCCCTGTGTGTTTTCTTCCTAAGTAAATCCATCAGGGATTTTTGTTGAAAGGGAGATATCCAAAGTCAGGAATGCCAGCCGTTTTTCAACTTGAAAGCCATATTTCCTCATGGGTGAACTTCTGAGACCACATACCATTGGGGTGGGGTGGGGGGAACACAGATTGAGAAAGTTACTTTTTGGACCCTAATTCCCAGAATCCCCTATTGAACAAGGCAGCTACCATGCAACGGGGGAGATTTCGGAGGTAGGCAATGGCAAAACCATCTCTGAGTATTCCTTGCCTAAGAAAACCCTATGCAATTCAAGGGTCATCATAGGTAACTTGAAGGCACACTTTCACATACAGTCCAAACAAACAGCATTTCCTAATTCTGAGCCAAAGCCACATACACACTCCCTAACTCATTCACATACTCAATTCACATATCCTTCCTTATTTCATAGCTGAAAACCAGGACACATGAAGCCAAACAGCATCAAGAATGTGGTCGAGATGGCAAAGGTTCATGAAAAAGAACAAACAAGCTTGGAGAGGGATGCAGCAGTTGTTTTTTGCCTGAGCCTACAGGGAAGGACTAGATTCCACCCCTTCCTCTCAATTCCTGAGTAAATTGAGCATAAACTACTTTTGCCCTTTGAATTCAATTTGCAGCAACTGAAGTAAGCTGAGGGCAAAGGGGGAAAGTGGGAGGAGGGGGAAGAAACCAGGACATTTTAAAGGCAGCTGAAAAAGTGGGATGGCAGAGAATTAATCAGGACTGTCCTTACCAAATTTGGAACAGCTGGAAAGTATGTATTCATCATATACACACACAGACCTCCATTCATAAATTCTCATCTACGCCCTGCTTCCCAAAACAATGAAAAAAGGAAAAAGGGAAAAGGGATGCAAAGAATTGGAGGAAAATGGGAGAGAAAGAGAAACAAACAGGTCAAATGCAGAGGAGAAATGACAATGCTTGAGAGGTAGTGGCATTTCAGTTTGCAGCCCCCAGGCTGAGCATCCGGAACCAAGGACACCTAAACTGTATCAGTACTGCACAATAACTGGATCTTGATATCATTTTAATGGCCATGTCTATACCCTACAGAATCTTGGGATTTGTAGTCTGGCAAGGCATTTTGCATTCTCTCCTAGAGAACAGTAGTGCTGCCACTCAAGGGGTCACCTCTTAAAAGTACAAATCCTAGGACTCCCATAGAATGGAGCTATGACAGTTAAAGTGCTATCAAACTGCTATAACTATATAATGTGGATAAACCCCAGGTCAGTCTTCCCCATGAGACTGATTCTGTTTCTATTTCAATGATGGCCATTATTCCCAAATCTGCAGCAATATGTATAAATGAGACAATGCATACTTTTATATACATCCTTATTTTCCTTCCTGGGAATGCCCTAGAAACCACTGTAAGCTTACCATTGCTTTCATCCATATGTATGGAGGCCTGACAAACAAAGGAACCACCAAGGACTCATTTTTGCCCCTAAGCCAGAACTTGAAAATATTGGAATTAAGCCTAACATATTATCTGTTAACAGTAACAGTTTTGCAAAGTTGATCCATTACATTCAGTGTTCGTAACACTTAATTTTTTATTAAATCAGAATGATTAAAAATAGACAAAATGCCCATTAAAGTACAACACACATGCCCCCGAACAGAGTAACAGGTTAAAAATAAAATGAAATATTGTCGCTGAAGCCATTATCTCTGTAATGGTTGCATAGAAGAGGGCATATCACCTCCTGAAATCCCCTCTTTGACACAACCATTAAAGGGACAGGAATTGTGTCCCTTATTTCATCTGGCAACCCTATATTGCAACCATTAGGGTTGCCAGACTGAAACCTGGAAAGGGCTCCTCATGGTTGTGTAGAAGAGGGGATTTCGGCGCTGTTCTTTGCGACCTGATGCCATTCCTTCTTCTACCCAACCATGCAAGCTCCAGGAGCCTTCTACAGTTTTCAGACTGGCAACCCCACTATCAACTGCAACGACAAGTTTCACAGTCAATGATGGCAGCTTCACTTGAAGGCACCATTGCCAAGCTCATCCCAAAGGCCTGCGGAAGAAGGAGCAGCTGAGCCCCGAGTGCTAACCTTTTCTCTTGGTGCAGTGGTAAATCTGGCCATGTTCCTGGGATACGGGGTACGGGTTGGCTGCGGGTAGCAGGTCCTGGGAGGTGCTGGACACACCGTTCTCACACTGGAACTGAGATCCAAGGTTGGAAGAGGTCGATAGAGCCCGGGCCTCGCCGCTGAAAGGGCTGTGGTTGGAGGCTACTTTCTGCCTGACTGTACTCCTGGGAACCACTGGATACTCCTTGCTGGAAACACACGGGCCAAAAAGGGAAGGGGCATATTAATGCCAGGCCAAGCATTGGCTTCAATCCACCACCGCCATCACCCCAGCAATGCAACTAGCTCATGGGCAGCAAGGTCATCTTTCACAATGAAGATCAGACTTCTCTCTTTGCAAGAGGAATTTCCTCCCTTCCCTGACATTCAGTCAGCACTCTGTGGCCTCAATCCAATTGTCAGTTCCAATGACAAGAGACCCATGGAATCAAGGCTGGTCAACATTTAAGTAAATTCTCCTGTGTCGATGGGTCTACTACATGTTAAAGAGCAGAAGCAGCTGGTTGTTTCCATGTTTGAGATGCAGTGAATCTCCTCTTAGTTTTAGCCCAGGCTTCAAAGGAGCTGTCCATGGTGCTGATATTATACCCTACACTCAGTTCAGCACCTTGGATAGCTCCTGTCAAATCTGGGGGAGAAAAAAAGGAGAACAGAGTCACTGGATCCTTGACATGGATGACCAAGAAGGACTGAATAACATATAATATCACAAATCAGTATTAGTCATATCCCCATTGGTTGCCCAATCACTGTTACAGGAGTCATACTGAAGTAGAACCCAAGAAATAATAATAAGGGGAAAAAAATACTCTGTCTCCATAGACAAGAGTGGAAGAGATAAAAATCTGATTGGAACAGTATGCGGGGAAGGATGTAGGGAGGCAGTGCTGCCACTATGTGAAGCAATACAATGCTGAACATGGAGTGATAAGAAAGGATTGTCTCAGTTACACCCTCCAAGGCTGCATCTGCACTGCAGAAATGATCCAGGTTGACACCACTTTAACTCCCATGGCTCAATGCTATGGAGTTCTGGGAACTGTAGTTGATTGTGGCACCAGGGCTCTCAGACAGAAAAGGCTGACAAAGCTACCATTCCCAGACTTCCCTAGCATTAAGCCACAGCAGTTAAAGTGGCATCAACCTGGATTAGTTCTGCGGTACAGATGCAGCCCGAGTGTGCGGGACTATAACCTCACCCTGGATGCCTCACCCTGTCATTTTGGGTTGAGGTGCTCTCCTCCCAGCAAACCACAGGCTATCCCCAGCTACAAATGCTCATCATTTCCCAGCTGTCCCAGCATAAGGTCGGCCATTCCTAGCTACCTGGAGCTGATGAGAACATTGCTATTGTGGAGACTTTATACCCATGGGACCTGCATCTCTTTGGGGTTCCACACCCAACGACCACCTTCTGTTGAATTTTTGCACAGCTCAGAATAGAGCAGAGGATCCCCCATTCAAAGGAAGCTATGGTTAAGGACATGGGGCCAGTTGTGGGGGGGGGAACACAATGAAGAAGGAACAGATAGATTGTGTTCATGGCAGATTGCATACAATTAGTCCATGAGGGGAAAGGCTGGAGGGGGAAGGTCTATCATACGGTCTCCAGCTGTGCTGACAGTCACAGGAATGGCTATCATCTCACAAAACATCCCTCGAAAAGGGAAATGCCCTGGACCTATAAATATATATGCAAGAAGAGATAGAGCATTTGTAACAATTAGAAACAGGTGGCCTTTTGTGTCTGCAGAAAGTCGACCCAGATCCTGCTCAGGGCCATTGGAATCGTTTACATGTCATGTGCACAAGACTCCCCTTGTTACATTTTATGTCAGGAACACATTGGAGTCAGAGCAGGCCACCTGTTCATAATTTTATTATTATATTAGTCTTTTATGATTTTTACAGACTGTCCCTGCTTTTGGAGATTTCCCTCTTATGCAAGCTGTTTGCATTCTTTCCCTTAGTCAATGACTTTAGTCAGAGGATACAGAGCGAGGGGCAACAATAATCAAAGAAAAGAGATAGATCAATACTCAAGGCTAAAAAGCAATGGGCCAAGATCCTACAGCAAGGTTGCAAACTGCAGATCTCCACCTGTGGAGTTATAGATTAACTGTGCTATGTAAGCCTTGTGTTGTACAACTGAACCAAGGCCACAAATGTGCTGCGGAAGAGACAACCAAATGTGCATGCACATCCATGCACCATACTCTGGGATATAATGTTTCACTAATTTTCTTCTTGGATAAGGGACAATCGCTTTTAGCAATTTTCCTCCTGCTGTGAGAAAATCTCTGAAAGCCACTCCGTTTTCAAAGCCTATTCACAATGTGGGACCTAGTTAACCTAGGAATACATAATAAGACATTTCCATTTTTAGTCAAGAAAGTCTGTACTGAAATAGTGTGAATACAATCAAAAGCTATACTGAATAAAAGGATTTTTAAAAATAAACCCAATTTTAAAACACACCAGTAAAAGAATACTATGGCGCCCATGAAATTAAAAGCTGGTTCTGTAGCAAGCAAAACCAATTGCCAAAGGCCACCCTGAATGGAAAGGACTTCGGCTTGCTGGTAGGAAACCAACAAGGAATGAATCTGGCTAGTCCCCCTTGTAGGATATCCAAGAACCGCAGATCAGTCACCAAAAAAGCCCTCAACTACACGCTAAAGATGTCAGACTTACTTCCAAGTCAAAGAGTTTTGCAGAACTGTGTGCAAAATCAAGTCTAAACTGAGTGCCGTAGTGGTTTGAGTGTTGGACTATGACTCTGGAGACCAGGGTTCAATTCCAGGCTTGGCCATGAAACCCACTGGGTGACCTTGGGCAAGTCACACTCTCTCAGCCTCAGGGGAAAGGCATGGCAAACCTCCTCTGAGCAAATCTTGCTAAGAAAACCCCATGATAGGTTCCCCTTATGGTCGCTGTAAGTCTAAAACGACTTGAAGGCACACAACTACAACAATCCCAGTTGCCCAGCTTGACTCTGGGGAGGAAAAGGTGCCCCTGGATACAATGAGATGAATAAATTTATGCAACAGTTCAACCTCACAAGCTTTGATGGATTTCAAAACTAAAGTTGGGAACATACACATACACAGCCACCAATAAAGCCCTTGGCTATATGCTAAAGACGTCAAACTTCCTTCCAAGCCAAAGAGTTTTGTAGAACTGTGTGCAAAATCAAGTCTAAACTGAGTGCCAGCCACACCATGAGCGAGACGGGTGTCTCAAATAAACTGCGGGGAAAAAATCAACAAACTCCATCATGGGAAGGAAAAAGTTGCCACACTGGGAACCCAAGCGGCTGCCTCTGCTGTCATTGCAAGTGTTTGTGGCTGTGTTGTCCCCAAGGCAAGGAAAATGGCAAAACCAACTTCCAGTCAAAGACACCCAGCCTTTGTGGTGCTTCAAAGCCTGCCAGTCTGTAGGTTGCCGTGACCTGCCAAGTATAGCAGCCTCAGAAATAGAATCAATTTCCCTCTTTAAGAGTTTCAACTGCTGTTCCCAGAAGAAAGTCTAAACAGAATGAAATCAGAGTGCCCACATCGTCATGCGCGTGGGTGAGTGGGCATGTTGCTGCCCAAAGCATGGAAGAAGGTGGTGCTCCTTCCTCAGTCCATGTATGAAAGCTGACCGGGCATACAGTCAGATGCCACCGGGGATGGAAAGAAGATTCAAAAATATTCCTCCCAAAAGATGTGTTTGTTTTTTAGTGTCGGGAAACTCTGAGTAGAAAAATCCTGGACTAATGAGAACATTCGCAGTCCAGGACTAATTCTGTACAAAATTCATATGTGGTTGTTTTCCCACAGAAAACAGCACTTTCGCCGCAGAAAACAGCATTTTCTGCACAGAAAAAAAAGATACTTTTTTGTACAGAAAAATTATTGTCTCTGCAGAAAATGCTGTACTCTGTAGATAAAAGGCTGTTTTCTCTGGGAAAACAACCACATGTAAATTTTGCACAGAACGAGTCCCAGATTGCAAATCGGCTTTGAAAACTGGTTTTTAAAGACTTCCTCGCAGCAGGAAGAACCTTGCTAAAATTATCCATTGCTTCCTTTGAGAAGAAAATTAGTGAAGAACTGCATCCTTTGTTGCTAATTTTTCAAAGCTGGTGATAGGATAGGATCTTTCCCTACAACCAAAGGCAGGAGACTAGCGTAGGGGATGCAGTGTTCTCCTTTCAACATCTTGCTACTACAGACTAGCATCTGGTTTCTGAGACAGCCACATCTAATGGGAAAGATAGTCCTAGTGTGTGTGTGTGTGGAGGGGGGAAGCTTTCGTACTACATAATATTCATGCAACAATTCCATTTTAATCACCATGGCTGCATCCTATGGAATCCAGGGATTTGCAATTTAAGGAGGGATACTTAGAATTCTCAGCTAAAGAACTCTAGTGCCTTAGCAAACTGCAAATCCCAGGATACCATAGGATGCAGTCATGGCAGTTGGGGAGAAATCATAGTCCTATACTTGCATAGTGTGAAAGGGTGGAGGTAGGTGTGCATATATGCAGAAGATCATAAAGTGTTTAAGTATTGTATGGCTGACCTGACTGTGTGAGACAGACATTAGCATCAAACTTCTGTGCAAAGTAAGGCTCACAAATGTTAAAGCCTGTCTTCATAACTGCATGGACCAGGAGGTAGCAATGGATAAGTAAGTGTAGATTCTTTCAGTTAATGAGCAGTAGTGGATATATCACTTTCAAACTCTTCCGTGCCACTTTCAGATGCATTCAACAAGTCCACTCTGTCCTATTTTCATTTTAATTATTTTTTTTAAAAATACATGAAGGTTATAGGTTTTTGTGGGTTTTTCGGGCTGTGAGGCCATGTTCTAGAAGAATGTATTCCTGACGTTTTGCCTGCATCTGCAGCTGGCATCTTCAAAGAACGATTCCTAGTCCAACACTCAAACCACTCCATTCTCTGAAGATGCCAGCCACAGATGCAGGCAAATACATTCTTCTAGAACATGGCCTCACAGCCCAAAAAAACCCACAAAAACCTATGGATGCCGGCCGGGAAAGCCTTCGACTTCCCATTTTACATGAAGATTGCTTGCGTAATTAAAAGATATGCCTTTTTAAAAAATAAAATTTCTCAAGACAAGGGTATTTTTCCACAAAACACATGTTTCTAAAAGGATTTGGATGCATTTTTGTTTGTTTGTTTGTTTGTTTCAAGTGAAGAAATGTGATCAGACGTCTTGGGAAATAGAAAAGAGCATGGATGGCCAAGTTCTGATCCATATCTCAGCCAAAGACTGTGCAAAGGGGAGGATTTAACAGACCTCTCCAATGTGCTGGACTCTAAGTTCAGCACCCTGGATAGCGCTTTTAACTTCTGGGATGAAATCCAAAGTGGAGTCACTGCCCCGTCAACATGGAAACCTCTGGATGCCCTCTTACTCATTCAATTTACTCATGGAATGCATATACAGAGCCAGGAAGAAGACAAAGCAAAGGTTACTGACACAGGGAAATTATCTCATTGCCTCTCTGCAGACACAACAGGCCCATCCACACCACACAATGATAGTGCTGTGATTCCACTTGAACTGCATCCTGTGGAATCCTTAGGTTTGTAGTTTGCATTCGGACTCTCTGACTGAGGATTCCCAATCCCTCCCCTCAAAAAACCCCCAATCCCAGAATTGCATTGCATGGGATCACGGCAGTTGAAGTGGCATCATACCCCTATGATTGTATAGCATGAAAGACCCCAGTATCCTGAAGGAATTTTCTAAAAACAAAGCTGCTTTTGACCCCCCCTCCCCCCGCCCATCAAGCAACATGATTTCAAGCACAACAGAAATGGTATGTGTAAAGATGGTATGTGCAAACATATGGAAATTATAGCACAGAGGTGGGCAGATAGGAGGCTTGCTGGACCGACCTTTTAAAAAGTGTTTTACAAAAAGGATAAGAAGAACGCTGTTGGATCAGACCAAAGGCCTAACTAGTCTAGGTTTTGCTTCTCACTGTGGCCAATCTGTCCTCTATGCTCACCAGCAAGACAAGAGAACACCTTCCTTCTCATGTTTCTCAGCAACTGGTATATAGAAGCTGTATATACTCCAACTCTGCTCTGTTGCTGTTGTGTGCCGTCAAGTCATTTGATGGATTGCAGAACTAAAGTTGGGACCATAAGGGCATGACTAGTGAAAGCCCCCACCTGCCTTTGTCTTTAGAGGGAATACCTATGAACAGGTTACCTTTGCATCCTTGACATTCTGTGCAGCTCCATGTCATCGCTGCCTCTAAATCCTTTCGCAAACGGGTTGTTCTCAATCTTCAGCTGAGTGATCTGAGAGGGGAAACCAGAAAAACGGCAGTCAGGACTGTGTTTCTTCTAACTGTGGGTCATAAAACAACCAGGCTAAGAGATCGGCTGAAAGAGAGAGCTCTAAAAATCCAGCCACATTGGGCAGTACTACATTATCGAAGTGCAAGTCCATCTCCTCCTTCCACTAGACAGAGGCACTACTATCCCACCAGCCAGAGCTTAAGTTACTTTTGGACCACAGCTCCCATGATCTCCAGCCTGCCTGGAGCTGAAGGAGTTTTAATCCAACAGTCAGTTTTCCAAACTCTGGGTGCATCACATAATTGGCATATATAAAAGTATCAGGTTCAGTTCCCAAGCTCTCGGAATGAAGACTTTCCCAGTCTTGCTACTGGAATGTTAAAGTCAATATGGACCTTTGAGGTTACCTCACTCAATGTTCAGCTCATTTCTGCAATATATACCTTCAACAACCCTTCCTGAAAGCAGCAGAATTGGGGATCCTGATAAAACCACTCTCTATGATCAGAAGCTGGAGCTTCCAGTCGAAACAACACCTCTCCCACTTCCAGCCTTCTCTCTCATCCTGATGTTTTCCTTAATGTTGCAAACTGGGAAAACAGGGATCGGGGAAGAAGCATACTGTTCCTCTGTGCTCCTCCAAAACCAGATTGTAAAAATCAAGAGTGTTTAGGTGTGGGATTTGGTCTGCATCACAGGAGTTCAGGTCTCATTCGGATTTGTCCTAAATGTGTCTGAATCCACACAAATTAACCAATGGATTCATTGGAATCAGAAGCACACCTGTATTAGCACTACATGAGTATAGCCATTTGATACCACTAACTGTCATGTGGATTCCTAGGATTTATAGTTTTAGGCCAGTACTTGGAATTCTCTTCTAGAGAGCTCTAGTATGATAGTCCAGGGAAATGCACAAGAGCTCTGTAATGGAGGGTTTTAACTATCTCCCTAAACTACCCAGAATTCTAGAGAATGAAGTCATGGGATCCAATTGCCAAAGCGAATATACCCATATTCTCTGGTATTAGATTTCTTTATTCTTTTGCATAGTGACTGGGAAGATATGCAGTAGAACTGGCACTTTTTGTATGATAAGAAATGAACACTATCTGTAAGCAGTTGGGAAAGGTTAAAAAGCTTTATTTTTTTTAAAAAAATCTGGCAACAAAAATAATCGTATGGGAAAGTGATGGTGGTGATGAGGAAGATGGCAACAACAATGAAGGAATGAAGATAATGATAAGAATGATAATAAATAGGGACAATGGCTGCAAAGGTAGTTTTGTATGTTAGATTTTTTTTTTCTTTCCCGGAATGCCTACCACGCTGGAAAATATAGCTCATAAGTATAGTTGGAACTCAGTTTCCTTCCTATGCCTCAAAATCTCTTCTCAACAGATGGAGAAACCTCTGGAGACTCCAGCAAATTGCACAATGCCTTGCGTGTAGCTGGCAAAGAAATAACAATGATCACGTGA